GTCGACGGCGAGCACTTCCGGGATCGATCCCAGAAGATTGATTGCTTACCGCCGGACCCGGAGGTAAGTATAGACCTACCCTTGATCATACCAGAGTAGGACAGAAATCCCCAACATGCATACGAGACCTTACTTATCCAAAATGAGGTCATCTCCCTGGATGTGTATTAAATAGGTTTTATTCTCCAGTTTATTCAAACCTCAATTAATTTTGTGTACCCAATTTCAATCCAATAAAACAAGGTTATGCTGTATTTTCGTTCAATTATATTTCCATATATTTCAAGGTTTCTTTTTTTTTTTTTACTACACACACACACACACACACACACACAGTAGGAGGATACGTCCATTCCAAAAGCCTTTTAGCAGAGTGAGATCTCTGTTTAAGGGAAATTACACAAATGAAGTAACAATAGTCCTGATATTATTACACTATTGTAGACATCTCTTAAATGGGAAGCGCTATCCACTAGAGGAGGAAGAAACAGCTGAAGGTGCACAGTTTTGCAAGCAACCTGACCACAAGTGAAAATCCTTATTATAGAGCCTCATAGTTGTCCATCCATTCATCCAAGTCAGTGTAACAAAAAAGTCTGAGGAGTAGGAGTCTTGAATTATAAATTATTTACTGAAGATGTTATGGCCAACAGTACATTTTATTAACCCTGATTTGGTATTAAAGTAGTTTGTCTTAAGTCTAAGAATGTTATAACCACCACTGTATTTTTTCCCCCACTGATAAGAGGATAGTTTGTTTACATAGCTGGGCAAAAGTTTGTTCCAAACAGTTTAAAATGAGCTGAACCAGTTTAACCTCAAGACTTAGTATTTTAGTTTATTATAATCAATAGAAGTTTATTTACAAAAGGCCTGGCAATCAAATTAAGTTTGGCAATCAAATGGAAACACTTGCAACACTTTCCACCCCATGAGTGAGCAGGCAGAGCGCAGAACAGCCATACCATTAACACAGCATTTGAATTGGCAATTACATCCTTGGGCTCTGAGTCGATGGCATTTATGCAGGAACCGATAGTACCACAGGACCAGGGTGAGTAGTGTGAAAGATGGTCTTCCTCAAATTTAGTACCACTCAAGTCACTAACACTCTCCGAGAACTATTGAAAAGGAAGGGGGAAAAAGGTACAAAAACAAAGGAAATTTAGTATTAAGGTGTTTATACTGAAAAACTGCTTACTGTAGACTATTAAATCAATCTGCTTCAAGATATGAAGCAGGTAGTCTAAGTCCGTGTCCATGCTGGGGATTTGCCTCAATTTCAGCCATCAGTGGCCAACCACTGGTAAATCTGCACCGACCCTTAGCACAAACCACTGCAAGCCACATTTTGCGCCTGTGAAGCTTACTGCTTCCAAGCAGGAGTAAGCTTCGCCTGTACAAATAGCTGCTTTGCCTGCTGACACTTTGACAGCTAAATGTTTTACAAGGGTCTTGTCACTTCTCATTTCAATTTATGCATTCTTTGGGACTACAGGCACATATGCACCTGCTCATCGTGTGGCAGCGCCATTATGAACAAGAAAATAAAATGGGAGGGTTCTTCCTAATGGAAAATTATATCCACGGTGCTTTACCAAGAGATCTGAAGGTTCGTAACAGGGTCTAATCACAGTTAATTACAATTGATATTCATGATATGCTGTTGGTATGATTTATAACTGCACAGGAGATGTGTGTAAAGCTCTACAATAGTTTCCATACTATGGATAAGAGTCTTAACAATAAAGTAACACTGTGCTATAAAGTTAAGCTGCCTTAAAGTTAAACCAATTCTTCACTTAATTTTGGCATTTTGTCAGTGATCAAGTGTAGCATCAGCTTAATATCCAATATTTTCTTTATTAAGGAGATTATATCCTGTACTTGCAGGGGGATGAACTTGATCTAATAGAATCACAAAAGAGTGAGACAGAAAAGCTCTCTTGGTAAGTGCAGAAAAAGAAAGCAAAAGTACCATGAAATTCTTTGGTTTCTCACCTCTGTGCTGAAGTCAACACTGAAGAGAGGAGAAGGTGGTGTTGGAGACTGTGTTGCCATAGGAAGGGTTGAGGACACAAGCGGCGTTTTTTGAGAGTGGTATTGTGCCCACTGCTCTGGCTTCCGTCTTAACTGATCATCATAACTGGTCTTCAAGTGACCACAAGGCTCCTAGAGTAAACAATGGGAGGAGAGCATCAATGTCTGAATACTCACAGCAGGATCATGCAGATAATTTATAGGTTTCTCATAGCTGCCAAGACATGGAGGAATAAGGAAGGAACAGTCACAGCTACCTTACCAAATACCAGTCGCAAGGTATATATTTGTATGCAGAAGAGAAAACAATGAAGACAAGATGAGGAACGTGTACAGCACGGTGTCAAATTGATTCCATGTTTAATTATGGTTCGTAGGCCATGGTATAAATTTAGGAGCCATCCGCCCCCACACTCTTTCCCCCCTCCCCCAATGATCTCCCACTGATATCACTGGGAGATTCAGAGTGCGATCCAGGGGACAATCTGGCCATTACACAGTAACTCAACTTTTAGATATTTTTTATTCAGTACATTATCGTCACATTCAGCATCACTCAGTGTGAAAATCTGCTCCCCTGTATCGTCACCACTAATTCTCCCCTTTCCATCCTCCTTTCTCTGCATCTCCTTTGTTCTTTCCTCTGGATTTCCTTCTCTGCAGCAACTCCTAATTCCCACCTCCCCTTGGGCTTAACTCCCTAGTCCATATGCTAAAATGCTCTGCAGTGAAACAGTTAAGGTTGCAACTGAAGTGTCATCACTGGAGCTGACATTCCAATGAGATTAATAGGGGCAGGAGAGTTCAACCCCCCAAGTTATTGTCAGAAGCCATCTGCACATGCAAGCAAACGTTACTGTATTGATTACATTCAGTCTACATTTGAAAGGTTCTCTCTGCGACCAGGAGGGCTAGAAATGTACTAAAAAAAAAAGAACAGTTGAGATTCTGAACAACCTGACTATATCCTCTGGGCTATATAAATACATTTAGCAGGCTGGATCTGGCCCGCAGGCCATGCATTGGACATCCCTGGGTCAGGATCCTTTGGACTGGAGTCCCATTTTTAGCTGTCAATACAGGATCTAGGCCGAGGGAGATGCATCTTGGATCCAAAGTGTCTTCCTCAATGCATAGAGTCATGTCATAATGTGAATCAAGGAAATTGGAGTAGACAACATCCAGGATGTGTGTAATTAATTTAGCTGATGTGTGTTTGTAAGCAGAGGAGCAAAGGGGTCTAAGATAGCCCTACCCGAAAGGACAAAGATCTGCCTATTATGGTTTAAAAAACAACTGGTTTTGGGGTTGCTGCTTGACAAGTGTAAATCCAAGGCAAGAAAAGAGCTCTGGGCTAATTAGGTAGTATGATTTCTGTCATTACTTTTAAAGTAAATCATCTCTTTTCTTTTCCATTCTCACTTACCCTTGGTAAAGGCACAGTCCTCTGCTCATTTGGAGGTTGGCAAGCCATGGAGTAATACCCATCCAATGAATTATATCTTTCGCGTAATGATGTCTGATAGACAGATGAGTGCATCACATCCATTGGAGGTAAAGAATTGCTCCTAATAATGTCATCTCTTGGGTAGATCTGTGGACGCCAGATGCGCCTGCTGTCATACACTGGAGCATACATTCCAGAAGGGACGGGAGGAACTGGTCCATACGGCTGCGGAGGAGGAGGTTGGTAAGGAGAATTCAGTCGATCTCGAGGGGGAAATGTACTGTAATGATCGGCATATGGCACGGAAGCAGGTGGGAGGGAGGATTCTGGAACATTACTGGACCTCACAAAGCGAGGAACACAGGGAGCCACACCAGCTGGTACTGTTGGAGGTGGTGGGTAGTATCCTTGAAAATTGGAAAAAAAGCATGTTTAACTTAGTCTCAATATAATCCAGAATTTTAAAACGGTTCTAAAATTTTAAGTAGCACTTGATACTGACTTCAGAGTAAAGTGTCTTGATTCTATAGGCCCCCTATTAATTCCATCACTTCTCTGTGGATGTACACTGCATGTCTGAGAACAGGCTCTGCAGGGACAGTACTAACAGTGTACAGTGTGTTCACAGGACCTGACATGGGTGGGAGGGGTAGCAGAGGAGCGGTGTATTCCACCATATGGTAGCACTTTTAAAAATTATTTTACAAGAACAGGTGGCAATTTAGCACTTTCTCTCCATACTGTGTCTGTCTGTATCTGTATGTATGTGTGTGTGTATAGATAGATATATCTATATATAGATATATCTATTATCTAACCATATATATTTTTTTTTAAAGAAAAAGGTCTGTCATCTCTGTTTATATATCAACATTTTGGGTCTAAGGAATTCTGAGGGTCTTTAAGCCATCAGTTGGCATGTGGTTTACTTTTTACATTGCAGAATAGATCATTTCCCCCTCCTACACCCTACTCCGACAGCTGGGACCTGCCTGAAGTTAGAACAAATGATACAGCAGTTTCCTTGGTTGCACTTAATAGAAACCTTTTTCTTCTACCTAACATGGTGCTTGTTAGCTTACCAAAATACCAAGCACAGTACGCAGAGGCACTTGGTACAGAGAGTGTCTCCCTCCAAGGTCTCTGCCTAGATAAATACTCAAACAAACCATTCCTCAAGGGCATAAAGACATTTGTGCAGTCTATGAGAGACACACTAGGACTGTCTGTGTATACAGATGGCTAGAAGAGATTTGGGAAAAAGCTTGAGTTATTCAGGTCTGTAAATGTTAGTGGGAAATGCATAACCTGGACTAAATTCCGCCCATGGATGCACACAGACTGAAGTTAGACCCATACATATTGGAGTGCAGAGACTGGCCCTCATTGTGGGTGAGCAGTAAATAACTGGCCACATGGAGGGGTGAAGAAGGGTGGTGTTTCCATTAAGACATTATAGAAGGAGACTGCTAAGCCAGCTCCATGAAGGATGCTAGCAAGATGGAGTCTCACATGTTTCACGCAAAGAAAGCAAACAAAACTTTTCTCCACAACACAAATCTTCACACATCTGTCCCCTCTCCAATAAGCAGGCATGGTTTAAATGTTGCTAAACTTCCTTTAAAGAATGTTGGAGACCTCTCTAGTTATATATGGAAATAATGCAAAGAGTGTAGCAATGCTCCTGCATTCTGCATCCCTCTCTTTACTCAAATCATAATATTCAGAGTTAAAAAGCTTGGGTATTGGGCTCTGCTGAAACTAGGAGACCCAGCAAATAAGCCCCACATGACTTGGTGCCACTGGGATTTGAAGAAATGTAGAAAGCACAAACATTGAAACACGTTCAAGTTTATACAGGACCTGACATGGGTGGGAGGGGTAGCAGGATAGCTCAGTGGTTTGAGCATTGGCCTGCTAAACCCAGGGTTGTGAGTTCAATCCTTGAGGGGGCCACTTAGGGATCTGGGGCAAAATCAGTACTTGGTCCTGCTAGTGAAGGCAGGGGGCTGGACTGGATGACCTTTCAAGGTCCCTTCCAGTTCTAGGAGATGGGATATCTCCATTAATTTCTATTTAATTTCTATTTCTAAAAGAAAAGGATTGCCTGTGTATCAGCAACCATGTCACTCACCTGTCTGGGGGTACTGTGGAACTTCATAGGACAACTGTGTCCTGGGATCTTGAAAATACTGAACATTATCAGAATGCGGAGGGTAGACAGGTACTCTGGTTACAAATGGGCTGGATTTTGGAGGCAGAGAATTCATCTCTGTTCCAATATTAGGACCACCAGCTGAGGTAGCTGCTGCCTGGCTTACAGGAGTCTTGGGTGGAGAACAAATTTTACTGAAAAGAATTGCAAAGAAATAAAATGGATTTGCATGTACTACTTATTATTTGTATTCGTCTTTAGTAATTTCTAACTCAAAACACAAAACACTCCAATATGACATAGCCCAAATTCCTCATTATCTCCACTGGAATTTCTGAAGACTTCAATTATATTTTTAAATCTAACATTGATGCTATTATTAAAAAGCAGACTATCTTCAAGAGAACATCATGCACTCATACACTGATCTAAACCTTTTAGTTTGTACCTAGAGCTCAAATACCAGTACTGAAAGCATGCTCTGGAAACAACAGATGGGCATTGAAAAGCTGGTCTGAGGTCCAGTGCTGTTTGGACAATGCCCAAATAATTTTAAAAAGGTGATACCTGGAAAACCTCCAGGACTACAAAAGAATGTTTTTGATAACAGGAAATGCAATGACTATTCTGCAAAACTCTACTATAAAGAAATAAATTATGGATGCAAATTGTTTTTAAACTGAATAACCCCAATGACAGATTAGATACTGTGCAGGAAACAGGGGAAGAGAAGGGATGTGGAGAGCTGTACTAATTTAGCCATTCTCTATGAGATTATTTAAAAACTAAAGCACTGACACAACTCGGGTGGACCTTCTGAGTAACAAAATTACATCTCCACTGCTAAATCAGACCTTGCATTTCTACACAACCAAGGAGCATCTCCAATGCATCTCCCCCTTTCCCTCCTACCTGATACATTACTTGGATATATCATCTCCTAACACCTCACTTAGAAGAGGCCATTCCCTCTTCAAGCTCAACTCTGGCCTTCAATAGGTAGAATGCACTGTTGTGCCCTTTGGAAAGTCTTCTATTAGGCTTGCACACGAGCCACAGCAGATTTTCTGAAATGCATGGCTTATATATTACCCTTTAAAGGGCAACTGGCTACTTCAGTCATGAGGAAAAGAAAAACATATGCCCTTCAACTTGTGGAGAGCATAAAACAGAACCAGAGTTCAGTATCTATGACTCACTTAGTAGCAAAGACTAAAACAGAAACTACTCATGAACATAATTCAGACTATTATCACCTCTCTTTTGCTTGCAAGGATAGGAAAAATGCAAAATGTGGACATTAGAATATTTGATCCCAATTCTTTTAGCCCACAGCAATACATACTTTTCAGATAGTGATTCTGTAGGAGACCCAGAGGCATTTTGACCACTGGCTCCAGACTTCCCCCCTTCTTGACATTCTCCAGAACTCTTAAAGAGGTTTCAGCGCAGCGAGGAATCAATTGGGGAACACCACTTTCCAGATTTGCAATCCCATTGGAACTCGGCACCATCTTTCCTGTTGTTTCAGTGCTTCCTATGACAGAGATTACATTTCCTGCTGTGGTTGAGACAGTGCTGTTGACACCAACTTTATTTAAGAGAGGGAATGTTCTCACAGTTGCGCTGATCTTTTTGTTCCTCAAACGATACCTATATTTACAAAGACAAATCTGATAAAGGAGTTTACGTTGTGCAGTCTAATGCATTTGTAAAACTGACATGACAGAAGGGATGAGCGGGAGATCATTAACAGCACTTCACAATTTAACTTAAACCATGAGCACTAGTTTGGAGAGACAAGTAGAACATCAGACATTTCACTCTACAGTAAAAGACCAACTCATCCTCTGAGAGGCATCAGAGTTGTTAATTTGGAGATGGGTCTGGAAATAGCTTTATGAAGTTATACATGAGATATTTGGTAAATTGAGTTAGGAATAAAGAACTGCTGATTAAGACCTAATGGGTATTATTCCTCAGTTTGCGCCATTGCAAACCTCTTAAGGTGCCAGGCCCAGAGTCAATTTTGTGCAGGAAAATTTTGCTTCTGCTATATTCTGAGAGTAAGTAAAGGGCAATTCATTTATTTATAGATGTTATTTTTAAGAGGTCTAATTTGCACAACAGCTCTCTTGCAATTCAAGGATCCCTAGAAATGAATTCACACATAAAAGGAAGCTACTTTCAAGATCTCATGAAAGCTGCCTTGATTTGATGGAAAGAACGACACCATCCCCAGACTTACTTTTCAAGCTCTTCCTGAGAGTGAGCAAATGTACAGTTAGTTCCTCGTGGACATCCCCCTTGCTGTCGCAGATCTCGGCACATACTCGTTTTATATTTGCTATTTGGTTGCGGCTTAAAAATAGGAAAAAAAAATCCCACTTAAAATCCAATACAAGTTTAAATATAAGTAGTTTTAAAAAATAGATATAAATCCAGCCATGCAAATGTTGACAATTTTCACTCTCAATCGCCCCTTTAGATAAGGAAGTTTTTCACTGACATTACAAATTAGCTCATCGTGGCTAACTCTGCGGCGTACGGCATTCAGAAAGTTTTGCTCACAATCATGAATTTGTCAGGGACTAATTACAAGATGCCATGGCTTTCAGGGTCATTATGCCCTCATAATCCTGACTAACACCTCAACCCCAACCTCCTAAGAATCACACATCCAAATTTTGAGTGTGTGCACTTTTTTGCCCTTTTTTTTCCTGTGAAAGTGTCTCTTCAAGAAAAAAAAACCTTCTTATTTTAGGGCTCATAATCAATAGGAATATAGCAGCGGTTCTTAAACTTTTTGTATTGGCAACCCCCCCTTATAAATTAAAAATGTTTTTAAAATAATTTTAAAATGTAATTTTAATGCAAGAGCCCTGGTTATATTGTAACACCTCTGCCCCCCCATCACCCGCCCAATGGGTTGCAACCCCCAGTTTGGGAACTCCTGGAACAAGGAAAGCTCTATTTGTGTTCAGTTGTTTTAAAGCAAAACTATGACAGACTTGTATTGTCTATCCCACAATACCAGGGTAAAATTCCTGGAGGCTGATCACATAGTAGGTTTCTGTTACTCTCCAATCCAGAGGGCAGCAAGAGAACTACTCCATTAACATCCTTCCAATCAATTCTCAGATGAAAAGGAATGCCTCCCATGAATTAAGAACTGCCTTTATCACCCCAAAACTGAAGGAGATAGGGATAAGAACTAAATCCTATCCCTCATATACATATTTTTAGGTGGAGATTTTGGGATCCAAATCCCTTAGCTGGCTTTGAAAATCCTATCCTTACATCATATATAAGGCACATATCAACACTTAATTCCAGGGATAAAACAAATCGTGCCTGATATTCTGCTTAGTTGTACTGAGTGTGTCTCCAACACCTATTTGCCCAGTGTGACAGGCAGACATTTGTGTGTAAAGGAGAAGAGTCTGCCACCAATCAGAGATTGTTTCTGAATGGATGTGTCAGGGGTCACGCAACAGGAAAGAGTTGGGGATTTTTAAATTTATTTTTACACCTTCCTTTACTGTATTGATTTTATTTTTTAGTTGTACCTGCTCACAGAATGGCCTTGGAAGGACTGACCATACAAGCTGGGCTTTTATTCCCTTTTATATTGCCTTGCAGATGGAAGTGTTTCCTTCTGTTCCCCACCCTCGGTCTCAGCCACTACCTCTGTCCATCAGCTCTCCATAATTTTCTCTCTAGCATATAGTGATGTTGACAAGATTTTCTTTGCTTGGGTATCTGCTTTCCAAGAACATGCCTGTGTTGCTGACCCTACCTGAGAAATGAAAACCACGGAAAGAGGCATCCAAGATAAACAATGAAGTCAAGGTTATCTTCTGAAAGTTCGCTGGTAGCCCCGTGGGCTTTTTGACTTTCCCTGAGAGGAAGCTGGACATGTCTACCCATGGTAGGATTACTCAAGTGGAGGGGGTGGATGCTGTGGAGGCCCACAGTGTTGCTGAAGCTGCTTTGTAATGCCCTTCATAGATAGGAATCCACTTACCTGTCTGTTGGTAACTAGTTGGATACAAACCCAGCACATTTATTATTAGAAGTCCTGCAGCACTATCCACTGTGCCACAGAGCCTGGTTTTTTCTGGGCCCTCTCATTCTTTTCATTTTGTTGACTATGTCTTTTTTCCACTTCTTTTAAAATAGAAGGCTCATCTGTAGGAAGGTCCCAGGCAGCAGTTATTCTCCTTAGCTTGGTCTTCGAGTATTCCCAAAAGAAGAATCTTTCCTGTATTTCACTATTTGTCTCATTAGTTCTGACCTGGAGAGCTGAAGTTCTTTCCATGAAGAAGACTCAGCCCTCTTCATAATAGCTTTTCTTTGCCGTTTTCTTTCTAGACGAGTGCTTTGGACAGGGAGCCTGCACCCTACAGAAACTTTAACTAGAGTCTGAAAGATTCGGACTCTGAACTTAAAAATAACAGGGTTCATTCTGGGTGTGCAGCCTCTTGGGGAGGCAGTGACGATCACATCCCTCTTTGGTTTCAGTTTTACAGTTTTTGTCCATACGAGATAAGGATATCTGAGGCAGGGTTAAGTAATGTCCTGGGGAACCAGACGTGTCGGTTTCCTTAAGAACATAAGAACGGCCGTACTGGGTCAGACTAAAGGTCCATCTAGCCCAGTACTCTATCTACCGACAGTGGCCAATGCCAGGTGCCCCAGAGGGAGTGAACCTAACGGATAATGATCAAGTGATCTCTCTCCTGCCATCCATCTCCATCCTTTGACAAACAGAGTCTAGGGACACCATTCCTTACCCATCGTGGCTAATAGCCATTAATGGACTTAACCTCCATGAATTTATCCAGTTCTCTTTTAAACGCTGTTATAGTCCTAGCCATCACAACCTCCTCAGGCAAGGAGTTCCACAAGTTGACTGTGCGCTGTGTGAAGAAGAGCTTCCTTTTGTTTGTTTTAAACCTGCTGCATATTCATTTCATTTGGTGACCCCTAGTTCTTGTATTATGGGAATAAGTAAATAACTTTTCCTTATCTACTTTCTCCACATCACTCATGATTTTATATACATCTATCATATCTCCCCTTAGACTCCTCTTTTCCAAGCTGAAAAGTCCTAGCCTCTTTAATATCTCCATGTATGGGACCCGTTCCAAACCCCTAATCATTTTAGTTGCCCTTTTCTGAACCTTTTCTAGTGCCAGTATATCTTTTTTGAGATGAGGAGACCACATCTATACGCAGTATTCAAGATGTGGGCATACCATCAATTTACATAAGGGCAATAATATATTCTCCTTCTTATTCTCTATCCTCTTTTTAATGATTCCTAACATCCTGTTTGCTTTTTTGACCGCCTCTGCACACTGCGTGGACGTCTTCAGAGAACTAAGCACGATGACTCCAAGATCTTTTTCCTGATTTGTTGTAGCTAAATTAGCCCCCATTATATTGTATGTATAGTTGGGGTTATTTTTTCCAATGTGCATCAGTTTACATTTATCCACATGAAATTTAATTTGCCATTTTGTTGCCCAATCACTTAGTTTTGTGAGATCTTTTCGAAGTTCTTCACAGTCTGCTTTGGTCTTAACTATCTTGAGCAGTTTAGTATCATCTGCAAACTTTGCCACCTCACTTTTTACCCCTTTCTCCAGCTCATTTATGAATAAGTTGAATAGGATTGGTCCTAGGACCATCCCTTGGGGAACACCACTAGTTACCCCTCTCCATTCTGAGAATTTACCATTAATTCCTACCCTTTGTTCCCTGTCTTTTAACCAGTTCTCAATCCATGAAAGGACCTTCCCTCTTATCCCATGACAACTTAATTTACGTAAGAGCCTTTGGTGAGGGACTTTGGTCAAAGGCTTTCTGGAAATCTAAGTACACTATGTCCACCGGATCCTCCTTGTCCACATGTTTGTTGACCCCTTCAAAGAACTCTAATAGATTAGTAAGGCACGATTTCCCTTTTCAGAAACCATGTTGACTTCTGCCCAACAATTTATGTTCTTCTATGTGTCTGACAATTTTATTCTTTACTATTGTTTCGACTAATTTGCCCGGTACCAACGTTAGACTTACCGGTCTGTAATTGCCGGGATCACCTCTAGAGCCCTTTTTAAATATCGGCGTTACATTAGCTATCTTCCAGTTGTTGGGTACAGCGGCCGATTTAAAGGACAGGTTACAAACCCTAGTTAATAGTTGCGGAACTTCACATTTGAGTTCTTTCAGAACTCTTGGGTGACTGCCATCCGGTCCCGGTGACTTGTTAAGTTTATCAATTAATTCCAAAACCTCCTCTAGTGACACTTCAATCTGTGACAGTTCCTCAGATCCGTCACCTACAAAAGCCGGCTCAGGTTTGGGAATCTCCCTAACATCCTCAGCCTATTAATTTCATTTGGTGACCCCTATATTTTGTACCCCGGAATGATTGTGTCCCATTGATTGTTCTCAGTCCACCAGGTTTCTGTGATGCCTATTATACCAATATCCTCCTTTATCACGAGGCACTCTAGTTCACCCATCTTATTATTTAGACTTCTAGCATTTGTGTACAAGCACTTTAAAAACTTGTCACTGTTTATTTGTCTGCCCTTTTCTGATGTGTCCGATTCTTTATGTGAATGTTTCTCATCGGATCTGGCCCTTACATTATCCTCTTCCATCCTCTGCTCCTGACTATAACCCAGAGAATCTCTATCAATGGACTCTCCTCTAAGAGAAGTCTCTGTCTGATCCACATGCTCCTCTGCAGCAGTCAGCTTTCCCCTTGAAGGATTTTGCCTTTGGTTGCTCCATGTTCCTTTGATCCCCTTGTCAGTGCAGTTAGAAACAAGTCTTGGAGGAGAGGATGTGCATACCAGCCAGCCATATGGCTGCCAGTGGGGAATCCCAGTTTCTACCTCTGTATACCCTGAATGCCAGGAACTTGTTGGATGAGGGAAGCCCAGCTGAGAGGTCCCCATAGAAAAAAGGGGCTGGCTAATGCCTGTAAGTAAGGCATAAAAAGTTAAGTGCTCAATGTAATCTTGTCAACTAGATTTTGTGTTTGCCTTCTGTGGAAAAATGTAGGATAGATTAGATACCATTTTTCCTACAAAAGGAAGATTGATTAATACCATAGAGAATCCAATCCAATGTCTATTTTTAATTGGCTAGAAGGGATCTTAGTGAATGGCATTAGATGCTCCCTGCTCAGGGAACATGGGCCTGGGATATTAATCCTACTTTATTTCATGGCAATGGAAAGCCTGACTAGGCTACAAATGTTTTAAATCAACATTAATTTTGCAAAATAAGTTAAGACCTTTTGTTAAAGCATCACAGAACACTCAGAAATACAGGTGGTAATTAAATATAGTCACCTGTGGTGTTTCATGACCTTTTCTACTATAGTTCTGAATAAAGTCCACTAGCCCATGTACCACAGTCTTCACCGCCACCATTGCATTTTCCAGCTGCTCCCATGTTGGAGAAGTTGCATCTACAATTGATAAATTTAAAGCACGTTTTAACAATAATTCCAATATCGTCGTCTTAAATGAGACAACTTTTATATTACACCAGAAACACCCACTACAAGGATTAAGAGGAAACAATCTTGAACAGCAGCTTAAAAACATCAATTGATGGGAATGGTTTAGAGCAGAAACAGAATTTATTGCCAGTATAGTTATATTTTTCATAAAAAGAAAATGGAAAAAGGTTTTTTTTACATTTATTAGCACCATTCACATACCTGGATTAGGATCTATGTTTGCCAGAAGCTCTAAATGAGGCCTAAGTCTGTTTAAGTTTGCTGGATCACCTGTACGTTGCAAGACAATTGTCAACTCCTGTACACTTTTTGCAAATGATTCTGGAGACTGGAGCTGAAAATAAAAGTGACATTAATGCTCTTCATTCTATAAACTGGACATTTTAACAGAAAAAGTATTCTCATTTTCTTTCAAGAGAGATGGGCTCCAAAATAATATAGGTAGTGTCTTCAGCTTGCATATAGTAATTATCAGTGGTGAGAGATTACAATTCTCAGCTCAGAATCTGCCCTATGAAGCTTCATCATAAGACACAAAACTAGAATAAGTGATTTTTTTTTTGCACTGCTTCTCTGTGACTTTTGTAAACACTAAACATTCTGAAAAGGGCTTTGTACATAAAGATTACGTATGAAAAAACAGCTATCCTAGTTTCTGGTCATGTTAAAACTTAGTTAAAATTAGAGGTTATAGTTTAAAAACTGCTTCAGCATTATACCCTTTAACTGTTAAATCTAACAAGAAAAGGACACTAAATCTATCCCATTGACGAACCTTGTCAATAATGGATTGCATGTGTGACTTATGTGCCAGGTCACCATAAAGGAGGGAAGACCATTGTTCTGGTGATATTCGAAGTCCTGCTTCCATGGCAATGTGGACAATTTGGGCATCATGTTCCCTCCGCAAAGCCTCATAACTCCGAAATTCCTCTTTAAGCTGCATCAGAGAAGAATCTTCATCCCTTTTGGTGACCTAAAAACAAGAATTCAACAATGCTTAGAAACTTCATATTTCTTTAATTACAGCAGAGTCGATCAGAGTCCAGCTGATGTATAAACAAGTATGCTGTGGTTTATAGCACTGGGTCTCAACCAGGGGTCCAGGGCCCCCTAGGGGGCCGCGAGCAGTTTCAGGAGGTCCTCCAAGCACGGTCAGTATTAGACTCACTGTGGCCCAGGGCAGAAATCCGAAGCCCCACCGCAGTTATTGTGGCACAGGTGGGCCATGGAGATTTTATAGCATGTTGGGGGGGCCTCAGAGAGAAAAAGGTTGAGAACCCTTTGTATAGAGAATCAACATTTAGTTCTTTCAACTATTCATCCCCCTGCAGGGTACTAGCATTACTGCGGGCTAGCCAGATAATCCAGTGTTGTATAGATAGTCATTATGAGGACATGACATCGAGTCCAATCACTTCAACTAAGGCAGAAATTGGATTTGCTTAAGTCTTTGAAGATATGATGTGGTTTGCAGGATATACAGCTATAGGATTAGACCTTCAGTTCCACTATCATTTCGATATATCCAATGTTAAAAGACAATTCAAAGAGAGACAGGCAAAATTCAGAATTTAATTGGTAAATATGGGGGGGGAGGGGAGGGTGAAAGATGATCAAAAAGTTGCAGTGCACTCTATAATTTAGAGTATACCTTACAGAAAGACAATTAGTATCAGTACAGTATTAAAAATACCTGGCCCTTACATACACCTTTCATCTGAGGATCACACTTCACTTTATATACATATTAAACCTCACAAATATTGGCATAGTCAGTATTATCCCATTTTATTGATAGATAAACTGAGACACAGTAAAGCAAAATATCTTGGTTCAAGGTCACTAATTGCATCAGTGACACAGGCAAGAATAGAACCCACAAGTTCTGGCTCCTAGTCCTTTAACTCATGTGCAACGCTGCATCTTTATAAAAAGAAAAGTAAAGTAAAGATGTGATACACATTGTATTATGATTATCCAGAAAAACATCCAACAAATCTTATTTTGGGGAAAAAGGTGTTATTGCTAATGGGTCACAAATCAAATTACTGCTTACATTATGTGTATATCAAGTATGATTTCTGATAGAAGGCCTAGCGTATATGCTGAAATAAAAATTTAACCATCTTCCCATGTCATCGAACATAAGAGCTTTTGTATCAAATATTGATATTCTATCAAAGATGTCCAGAACAAACTACTGTCTTTGTCAGCTGATATTATTTTATTGCCTTTCTGGGCCAATTAATTTCTTAATGATCGTGCTCTACATTACCATACAGGAAGGCAGAGTTCACTTCCTACTCCTGATCTCTTATTCTTCAGAGACGAAGAGTTGGGAGCATTCAGTGGAAAAAGAGGCATGGTATAATAATTGAGAGGTTTAAACATTTCATGTCCATTTTATAATGGATGCATCGGTACTGAATGCATTAAGATTCACTCTCCATATATTTCAATCCCACCATCTCTGTGTATGCAGAGACTATAGTTAGTGGGATTAGATGGGGTCGGCAACCTTTCAGAAGTGGGGTGCCGAGTCTTCATTTATTCACTCTAATTTAAGGTTTCGCATGCCAGTCATACATTTTAACATTTTTAGAAGGTCTCTTTCTATAAGTCTACATTATATAACTAAATTATTGTATGTAAACAAGGTTTTCAAAATGTTTAAGAAGCGTGATTTACAATTAAATTAAAATGCTGATCTTATGCCACCAGCCTGCTCAGCTTGCTGCCAGCCTGGGGTTCTGTTCACCTAGGCCAGCAGCGGGCTGAGCAGGGCCTATGGCCGGGACCCCAAACCTGGGGGAGGGGGAAGAGGGTGTTTCAGGAGTCAGGGCAGAGGGCTGGGGCGTATGGGGGTGCAGGACAGAAGGCTGGGTGTGTGGGGGGTTCGAAGGATCAGGGCAGAGGGCTGGGGGGTATGGGGGTGCAGGACAGAAGGCTGGGTGTGTGGGGGGTTCGAAGGATCAGGGCAGAGGGCTGGGGGGTATG